GTCCTGGTCCCCTAATCCCAACTACCTCATATGGGTGGCTGTCAAAATTAGGGTCCCTTTTTGGGGCCTTGTTACAATACGGCACCTATTATTTGGGGTACCCAATAAGGTGACAACCACCCATATGATAGGCGTCCCTGAACCCTAAGCTCGATTCCCGAAAGTATCAGAACTGATACGCCTGCTGCCGCAGGCGGAAGCGCGAGGACGACCAGGGTTGGGGGAGCAGTGGGGTTTCAGAGATATTGGTTTAGGGTTAGGGGTTCAGGGGTTTCAGGTTAATACGGTTATAGTCTAAGATGCCGCAAACCTTATTCTGATCATGAAGGCCCTATAGTAGGCTTCTCTGGGGCTCTCCGGCTTCACATGGTTGGCTTTGCAGTTTGTGTTTGGCTGGATGCAATGCGGCCATTGCAGAGGTTTTGTTTTGCAAATATGCTCGGATTAGAGTAGGGGTTTAGGATGTGTTTGTAAACGGGAAGTTAGGTGTTGTTCAGGTTTCCGTAGTATTCTACGGAGTATAGCAGGGCAAGCCGTGAGTCCGGATTGGATAGAGCGCCCCAAGTGTTTCCCCCATCCTAGTGCCACCTCGACCCGGAACACCCTAAACCCTGAACCCTAAACCCTGACTGCGATAGGGAGGAAAAGAACCGTAAAAAATGCAAAGATCCTTAATCCCTAAACCCTGAACCCTAAACCCTACAGGAGTTGCTCGAGCAGCTCGTCCGTGTGGTTGCAAAGGTGGAGGCCAGGATCACTGAAAACCCAAACAGCTGGAAGCCCAAAGCCCCAGGCACAGAAAGCCCTACGTGCCCAAACCCCAACAAGGCCATAAATCCCAAACTCCGGATCCCCTAAAACCTAAACCGTAAACCCTAAACCCTAAACCGTGGCAGCACCGCCTACGCGCTTTGCACGACGATTTTCCTTTTTACCAAGACAGAATTGGTGGCGCCTGGCGGTCGTAAAAAACCCTAAACCGCAAGGTCATGCAGTTCGGCTTCGCGAAGACGGAAGAGTCTGTCGCCCTTGCCCCGGGCAGTCAAAGGTTCGTGAAGCGTAGACAGGATGATGATCGTCATAAGATCTAAAGCTTCACGACCGTGGTTTTCGCAGCCGTCGTCATTGTCATCGTAATCATCATCATGATGATTATCATCATCACCATCACAATCATCATTATGATCGTCACGCCCTATCACCGCGTAGGCAATCGCCATCGCCGTTACCGTCACTTCCACCGCCAACACCGGCGCCACTATCACCTCCAACAGTATCACCATCATCAGTAGCACTGCTGCCGTCATCAGTGGGTCTTCACTATCATCAGCAGCATCACCATCGCCAATTTGTGCGACGATGCCAGCATCTCCGCATTGAAGCAGGGAAACGGCTAGTAACTTGGAAACGGTACGCCTGCAGATGACAAGCCAGTAATTCACATATCCAGTTCACATTACAGATGCCATTACGAAGAGCAAGGCTTCGAAACTGAGATTCAGTTTCCGGGAGTTGGTTCGGAACGACCGAGTCCCGAAAGCTGAAGCCTCAACTCTCAGGTTTTCACAGTGGAGTTTTCAGTAACGATGTCCATGATGACACAAGGTCAATTGCCACAACTCGCCGTAGTTTGAGGCGACTGGTGAGCATGCCTACTCTGGTGGTGGCAATAATTAACAGCATGTAGAAGTTCGGAGGAATCGCAAGCCTGATCAGAGTACTGACACAACAGAAGTTGGAACGATCGTAGTATTGCATATTGGCAGTTAGACTCTGGACAGAGTGTGCATTGTAGCTTCGCAAGCTGCCCGCACAAATGCAATGAGGGGTTAAGCACAGTATCTTGAGGGCGACATGCGTACAATGGATACCCGAGTTTTGCGGAAATCCCAAAGACCCTTCGAATCACCCCCCGCCTGCCCCAACAAGGCACGCATGGACGGGGCCATCAGCCACTACAAAGAACTACAGGATGAGCGTCACAGCCTTATGCTGGCAGGCGACGTGGGGCAATAGGGAAGTCAGCGGTGAAGAATAGTGGTAAAAGCACGTAGAACCGAAGTGTCAAGTATGAAACCTGATAAGGACATCGCTGGGCTCCCGCTGAAAAGCGAATGATCCTTTCCTGGTGATTGATCTTCTTCTCGAGTTTCGGGTAGTAGAGTCGCAGAGGTTCAGGACATGCATAGCAGGGACGGGGAGGAAGGGGTAGGTGGGATGGGAGCACAGGGACTACACAGACGGGTGCCTTTCTGAACCTCGCATTCCGGGGTTCAGCCTGGTAGTCCGTTTGGCAGGCGTCGACGACCTGAAAAACAGGTCCATCTTGCAAGACATGTCCATAGCTGCTTGGCTCCGTACTCCGTGTAGCCTCGAGTGATTCTTGGAGTGCGTGGATATGTTGTGTGTGTGTGTGTGGAGGTATATCCGGAGTTTCGGAAAGTCCTATATCCAGGAGCCGAGGATCTGTGATCCAACTGTAATCTGCCGACAGATGATTTTGAGCTGGGTTTAGGGTTTAGGGTTCAGGGATCTAAAGGGTTTAGGGCTTAAGGTCTTTGGGGTTTAGAGTTTAAGGTTTAGGGTTTAGAGTTTAGGTTGCATCACTGTCTCTCCTGCCAAGATGCCCACGCTTGGGATGATGATAGTAAGAACAGGACTACTCGCAGCAGTCGCAGCATGGACAGTAGCAGGAGCGCTAGCAGCAGTAGTAGTAGTAGTAGTAGCAGGAGTAGTAGTAGTAATAATAATAGTAGTAGCAATGGAAGTAGAAGTAGAAGTAGTGATCGTAGTAGTAGTAGTAGTAGTAGAAGAAGTAGCAGCAGCAGCAGTAGCAGTAGCAGCAGCAGCAGCAGCAGCAGCAGCAGCAGCAGCTTAGTAGTAGGAGGAGTCACGACCACGACGACGACGACGACGACGACGACGACGACGACGACTACTACTACTACTACTACTACTACTACTACTACCGCAACTACTGCTACTTCTACTGCTGCGACTGCTACCACCACCAGTACCGCTACCACCGCCACTGCCTGTTCGACTGCTACTGCTGCTTCTGCTGCTCCTGGTACCCCTCTGCCACGGCTAATATAGGGGCCTCAATAATTACCAATACTATTTTTTTGGGGGGGTTCCATATTGTAACTATAGAATAATGAGCCCCAAGACCCTATTCTAATTACTAAGGCCGCTATGTTAGGGCGGGGAGCTTGCGATGTTTCAGCCCACGAGTCGCCAAGGAACAGTTCCAATCCGAGTTCCGAAGTGCCGTCGATCGAGAGGCGGCACACAGAAGTGGGACCCCAGTACGGTGAACAAGGGTTTTGTGAGAGCGAGCGAGAGTGAGAGAGAGCGCAAAATAGAGAGAGAGAGAGAGAGACAATGTAACACGAAGGCTGCCGAATGTCATGAATGTAACAGAATGCAATAAAGCGTTCTAAACTGTAAGGGAAGGAATGTGAACATGCTGGGAATATTCATGCATCACGCGGAAAGCTTGCACATAACCTTGTGTAGTGTAGTCAAGCATGGCATAGCAGGTTCCAGCGAACTGTTACATAATGTAACAGGATGTCATAATATAACTCAGGCAATGGTGTAATGCATGTCACAAGTTATATTATATTGGAGTGCCATGCTATTATGTATGATGGGCAGTGTGATGTGTGTATATAGATACGTGTGTGTATGTATGTATGTATGTATGTGTATATATATATCTATATATATATATATATATATATATATATACACATAGATGTATACATAGAGGCTGCGTAGTCTGCACTGCCGTACCACAGTGGAACCAGCAACTGGGTCATATTATTCTAAAGTAGTGTGTGTGTATATATATATATATAAGATATGCATGTACATACACATTTATGATCATTTATGTATATGCATATGCATACATATGTATTTATATACACAGCTACACATTCAGACACAGATAAATAGCAGATGTGCAGCCGGGATTTGGGAGTGCAGGGGGCTTTCTGGGGCGAAAGCGGCTATTGTAATATTCTCTAACATGCTTGCGACTTTCCCCCTCGAAGAATCAGCGAGAAAGCTGCTGCGATCAGCTCCTAGGCCTAGAGCTCTTCGATTCAAGTCCAGCCATGGGTTGGGGTGGCAAGGGAAAGGGCTGCTGGCACCGTCACCACCATGGGGGCATCGGCCTCGGTGGTGCAGCTGCCGAGGCCGCCCTGATCGGCACGGCCGCCGTCGCTGGGGCGGCCGTCGCCTCTGCAGTTGCTCCCCGCCGGCCATGCCCACGTGCGGAGGTGGTGGTGATCCCCACACCGGCGCGGGCTTCGCCGCCAGTGGTCCTCTTGGAGCGTACCGGCCGTGGCAGAGGCAGAAGTGGCACGCCCGTCGAGGAGATGCCTCCGCTGTCCGTGTCAGCTATCGGCATGCCAGCCGCAGCGATCGTGCAGCAGGGTGGGGTGACGTACTTCGGAATCGAGGTGATGCCCGAGACCGGTGCAAGCTACAGAGTTCAGAAGAGGTATCAGGATTTCGAGGTCTTGAGGGACAGTCTCGCTAGACTTGCGCCAAGATCCATGATCGATCGGGGTTTCCCCCGCAAGCACATGTTCAGCTGCGAGGGGGCCAAGCTTGAGGAGCGTCGACGAGGCTTGGAGCAGTGGCTCAAAGGTGCTTTGAACCATCCGCTCGGACGACTCGGCTGGTGCTTGAAGCTGCGAGACTTCCTGGAGGTAGGTCAGATCCACACGCTTGCCTATGCGCAAGCCTTGCAGAGCAACCCATGCTCGTTTTCAGCACCCTCGGCACCGGAGGAAATGTTGGAAACATCCGAGGGGCAGCCGATGCAGATCCTGGTTCCGAATGGCGTGGAGTGTGGACAGACTCTAGCAGTCACGGTCCCTGATGGCCGGCAACTGACAGTCACGGTTCCTCCAGGCTTTGCGGGTGGATCTGAGCTTCTGTTGTGGTTTGATGCAGATGCCGGGACTCTGAGCCCTCTGGTCTAGGTCCGGGTCACTGATTGGCCTGGTCGTCACCTCGCTTAGCCCCCAAAAAGGGCATAATCCCATGGTTTCATGTCTGTTCTTTTGTAACAAACCCACTCAAGAACTGATGGCAGTGTTTACGTCAATGTTTTGGTCATGTTGATATCTCGGCAAGGCTGCGCCTGTTGTTGGACAGGCAGCCGGCCGAATGTTCTGGCTGAAGCCAGAGTTCGATTTTGCCGCATGTGGCTCCCGCTTGTACAGGAACACTTGGATGTTCGCCCATGCAACCAACCAATCCAGAAATAAAAGCAGTGATCGCCGTCACTTCAACTTCCCTGGTGCCATGCGCCCAAGTCCCGAACCCAAGCCTATAAGCCCTCAACTCAATCCTCAACCCTAAACCATAAACCTAGAAGCCCTCAACCCTAAACCCGAAACCTTAGAAGCCTTCAACCGTAAACCCGAAACCCTAGAAGCCCTCAGCCCGTGATCAGAGCCAGGCGCGTGCGGACTTGGTGGAGAAGCGCAAGCAGACAGAAACCGAGCTGGAGGCTTCCCCAGCGCTTACACTATGCATGAAAGGAGCAGAATGATTGCAGTACCATAGGGGTCGGAATACTCAGTGAGTCTTAGTGATACATGGAGAGGAACATGGATCAGATCATCGTGCTGTCAACAGGAGTCTCAGTCCTCCCTTTTCGTCTACTTCTTGCTGCTGTACCCTCAATTCCGTCATTCGCAAATCATGGTCTACAGTCTCCTCAGGAATTATTATTATGATTATCATTATTGTTATTATGGTTCTAAGGCCCTTCGGAATTCCTACTATGGTCTCAAGGGGGGGGGTGGGTACAATGGTGCTCGGTCGTCATCGTCTCCCCTTTTGCAGGTGCAGCTCGTGAAGCGAAGCATCGAGAAGCTGAGGCCTCCACCATGGTGATCCCGTGCTGTAAGTCCTCCCAGGTTTAGGGTTTAGGGTTTAGTAGTGGTCGTGGCGTAGGATCATGGGACTTGTATAGTAAGTAGGGTCGTAAGTAAGGTAACTATTGTTATATCTACTAAAAAGCCGTAATTAAGGTACTTATAACCCGACTTACCAAATCCCATGATCCTTTAAGCAGTGGTGGAGATAGCGGGAGCAGGGCCATAGGGAGAAGCAGAAGCAATGGAACCCGGCGGAGGAAGGGTCGACCACTGCCACTACAACTACCCAAAGATACCAATACCTCTTACGACTTAAGGATTATACATCAAGCTATAGGGGGATATAAGGGGCTTAATTGATGATTTAAGGTATATTCCTCAATTAAGGGGTAATGGGTTCTATGGGTAGACAACAACAGCTCTGTCGCCACTGCTTTCTGCTATCACTACTACCGCAATCGTTGACACTACCATCACAACTACTACCATCACCACCATAACGACGACGACTATTACTACCACTACACTACTAGTACTAGTACTAGTACTAGTACTAGTACTAGTACTAGTACTAGTACTAGTACTAGTACTAGTGTACTGCTACTACTACCAGTACTACCACTGCCACTGCCACTACCACTACCACTACCACTACCGCTACCACGCCCACTACCAGAACTACCACTACCAGAACTACCACTAACACTACCACAACCTCTACCACTACTGCTGCATGTCCTGCCTCTGCTTCTGCTACTGCTGCTGCCGCATGTGTGATTGCCACTGCTGTATGAGCTATTGCTGCTTCTGCTACTATGACAATTCGCACCACTGGCGCTACCATCACGAGGTGGGAGGAGGAGCGGAAAACCATCGAGCGCCGCGGCGAGGCAAGCTCTTGACGCGGAACAGACAGCTTCCCCACAACCACACGTCTGAAAGTACACTTAGGGCTGCCTCTGCGTTTCGAACGTAGCTTCGCAGTGCTTTTAATCCAGGGCTTGGGGCCTGATCGTCAAACATGTCCAGTGTGTCGCTCTTAAACCCTAAACCCTAAAACCCTAAAGCCTTAAACCCTAAACCCTTAAGCCTCAAATCCTAAACCCTAAAATAATTTTTGCCGTCTGTCCAGGAGGAGCGGAAAAGCGATGATCACAGCACGTCGCCGGGCCGCATCGGAAAGGTCAAACATACACGGCTTGCGCAGAGGGAAAGAGAGGAAGTACATAAGGGTGGTTGTCAAAATTATGGTTCCTTTTTGGGTGCTTAATATAATGCAGCACCTAGTATTTAGGGTACCCAAAAAGGGACCATCATTTTGACAACTACCCGTATAAGTACGTGCATACTTGTACATCATATGCCAATGCTCTTCCGCAAAGATTACCGTTTTTTGCTGCCTCTTAATCCTGGAGCTCCCCTCTCCAAACACATCGCAGGCTCCAGTTGCGGTTGCGATCACTGTAATGTCACGCGTGATGTTTGTGCGAGACATGCTCATAGTCCATATTATATTCCCAGCTACAAATCCTTTCACATGTCATTCTCACCAATCCCAAAAAGTCGCGCGACTCCTCGATCTAGGTCTGTATGGATGTTGAAGCGACGGTGTTGAACTTCAGTAAGACTTTGGATTAGAGGTTGACGATCTGCTGCAAGACGTTTCCAACACATCTTCCATCAAGTTCCCTATTGGAATTCAGCCGGCCCTATTGAGATGTGTAGCAAAAGCACATGTTTCTTTATATGTCTGTGTGTATGTATATGTATGGATCGTATGTAGGTATGCAGGCAACGTACGCATGTGTAAAGGTATTGCAGAGCCAACCTGGCGGTTCCATGCTTGCGAGAACGAGTGTGAGGCAAAAGCACCACGAGCGGATAGCCTTCGAGACAGCTCAGAAAAAGGCGGGCCGTGCATGACCCTGCTTTTGAATTTGGGATGTTGCGCATTTCGCGGTTCAGCTCTTCGAATGTGTTGTCAAGGAGTCAGGAGCCAGCCGTTGCAGGAGCAGACTACAGTCTACCAGCCCCATCCCTTCCGGAAGACTCCTTAGTTCCCAAAGTCGGGAAATTCATGGCTCTCTCCGGTTTACACACGCTTTCAGATGCTACTCGCCCGGTTTAAGATTTGGGATAGAGGGTTTTTATAAAAGCCCTCTATACTTTGAGATTTGGGGTGCAGGGCCGCCCGAAACCTGACGTGCGCGTCGCCACAGGCTGCTGACCTGGAGCTTCTGGGCCAGCAGGAGGAGCCTGGTTGCCCAAGCTCTCGGCTCCGGAAATCGCAACTTTGAAATAGGGCATCCGCCGTCCGCATAGGGACCTTAAGTAGTAGCCCTAGCATGAAGACCTCCACCGAGGTTTACATGCAAGTCAGCATGTACGATGGCACCATCGAGAAGACTAGGAAGTGCTACGCTACAGAGCACGTATAAGTATACTCGCATGGACAAGAGCAACGCATGCTGTGACATCTACGTACGGGTGTATGGATGTGTTGGTTGTATGGGCGTATAGATGTATGTATGGATGTATGGGTGCATGGATGTTTGTATGTGTGGATGTAAGTATGTACATATGTACGCGGTTTTGCATGCATGCATACGATTGTATGTGTTTGTGTGTTTGTACGTTATGTATGCCTTCCGGCCTGCCTGCCTGCGTGCCGGCATACATGTATGTAGACGTCCATAACATACCTAGCTGCATCGTCTTCAGGGTTATGCCGCAGAGAACATGTAGCCGACCCCAAGCCGAAGTCCAGTGCGCCAGCAGCGGATCAGTGGAATGCCGCAACGTTTTGGGCAGAGGTCCAACCTGCGGCAGCAGGCGCAGAAACACAAGGACGAGAAGGACGGGCCGAAACATGTTCTTCCGTTGAAGGGATGCTTGACTCGCTTTGTTGGGCTTGAGGGCCTCGGGGCTTAGGAACCCTAAATCCCTAAGCCCTAAACCCTGAAACCCTTGTCATTGGTAGCCGTGCTTCTCTGTTTCCTTGGCTGGCCGTCGTTGACCGGTAACAGAACAGGGAGCTTCAGCAACGATGCCTCACTCTAGCTGCACTAGTTGTTCGTCCGCTTTTGTACGATTGCTTTTCGAAGGGGTGCCCAAGCCTCAAACACTTCAGGCCCTGTGCTGCTCTTGCAGCCCTTCACAGCCCGTGAAACCCCCAAAACCGCGAGAGCCTACTCCCCCACCCTCAGCCCGTAGTTAGTACGAAGTGTAGGATCCTTAATGCAAGGACTCACCAGAAAGGATTTGAACACCCACCCAAAACCCGAAGTCGAGAGGAACTCGCTGTAAACCCGGATACAAAAATGACTCAAGGTAAAATCCTGACAAAAACCCATAACACCGTGCCAGACACTTCAAGTTCGGAGTTTTGGGAGGAAGATTGAACAAACAATGAAGCCCAGTAGCCGCCCTTAAAACCCCGTAGAACCCTCGAACGGCTTGCTTCAAGCCTTCCAGAACTCCAAGAAAACCCACACTAAACCTGAACCCTGAACCCTGAATTCCTTCAACCCCTAAACGCCCCCAAACCCCCCAAAACCCCCCAAACCCAACAAACCCCCCAACACCACAAAAACCACGAAAGCCGAACACCTTGAAAAGATACCAAAAGGAAGTCCCCGAATCCCTTAAACCTCTAACGTCCGAAAGTACCTGAACCCTGATGCCAAACCCCTAAATCCTAAACCTTTGACCCTAGACTCTAAATCCCCAAAAATCATAACCCCCCCCATCCCTAAAGCGGCTTTGACCTGCGCACTGTCTGTGCTTTCGGGTTTAGGGGTTTAGGGGTTTAGGGGTTTAGGGTTTTAGGGTTTAGGGGTTTAGGGGTTTAGGGTTTACCTTTTCCCTTACCTTTTTAGGGATCCTCACTATGATTTCTTCATATAAGTCCTGAAAAAGGTAGGTTCTTCGAGGTTAAGGTAGGGTAAGAGGGGATCCTAAGATAGTACCCCTAAATGGTGGGATCCTTGCTATAAGGACCCCAGGGTTTCTGGCTTCGCCCCTCTTCCAAAAACCCTAAACCCCAAATCCTAAACCCTAAACCCCTAAACCCTAAACCCCTAAACCCTAAACCC